CAACTACAACGGGCCGACCCAAACAGAAGGCACATTTGTCCTTTTTTATCTATTTGGGTCGGCCGCCCACACGGCGTCCGCCAGTTTTGCATTTGGGTCGGCATTGCGCCCAACGCGCCGACTCATTTCATGTCCGCATTCAACTTTTTTTTAAAGGCCCGCGGCCGATCATGCCAGCGGCCATGTCTCATGCCGGCACCATGCCAACGCCGGCATACAATGCCGGCTTCAGAAAATATTATCACAGTTCATGCTGGCGCACTCGCCAGCCGGCCGACACACATGCCAGCACACAAAAAAGGGTGGGACTTGAGTTCGACCATGCCGTGGTCATGCGGGCACACCTGCCAGCATACAAAAAGATGGCGCTCGCTGCCATAGATCACTCGTCGTCGAAGTTGAGCATGTCGGCCTGCATCTTCTTAAACCACGACCTCTTTCTTGGCAACACGGTGTTGAGATCCACCTTCATGATCTCCACCCCGGCCATCATGCTCGCAAGAGCCACTTCTTTCGCCTTGGTCTTGGCGTTGGCGGCCTCGATCTCTAGCAACTTGGCTTGCTTCTCCGCCTCTAGCTCGAACATCTTGGCTTGCTTGTCGGCGTCCAGCTCAAGCCTCCTCCTTTGGATCTCCATGAAAGCATCCATTTGCTCCGTCTTGAAACGCCGGTGCTCCTCCTCCCTTGAGTCATTCTTATTCATCATGCCGCCCACGCTTGCGATCAAGGCATTGGTGGTCGCATCTTGCTGTCCTCCTTCTTGGAGTTGGTCTTCCCCCACGGCCGTGCCGGCACGCCCTCCCCAAAATCCTCCGCGGCTTTCTTCCCCCGCACGACTTGAGTGCGGCATATTGCGCCTTGAACTTCTCCTCGTCCTTGATGACCCGATAGCAATGGGAGAGGTTGAAGCACTTGACATTGTGTTGAACCTTGAATGCCTCCAAAGCTTGAAATGCCTACAAAATATTTCCATGCAAGCATATGGGCAAGTGATATGCAAATGAACACGCAAAGGATGAACTTGATGACACAAAAGAGGGCTGCTTGCTAGTATACCATGTCTTGCATGCCGATGCCGCTCACGGGGCGGGCTTTGACGCTCTCAAGAGTAGCGCAAAACTTGTCGCACTCTTGTTGGATCACCCTCCACCGCTTGGAAATGGAGACCCACCCGCGCATGCTCACAAATTGGTAAGGCGGAAACTTCTTGCACTCATGAAACTCTCGGTGGACACGAATCCAAAAGGTTGAATGCTTTTGCTCGGCGCCCGTATTGGGGTCTTGTCCAATGTCTCGCCAACACATGCAAAGAAGCTTGTCCTCGGCCGCCGTGTACGCCTTCGTGCGCTTGCTCTTGCGCTTTGGCTTAGGACCGGCATCTTGGTTCGCGAGCTCGTCCTCGAACAAAGGCTCCAATTAGATGTCGCACTCGTCCTCTTCCTCTAGCCCGTAGTCGTCCGGGAACTCGTGGTGGAGGGGGAAGCCGTCCAGGTCGATGCCGACCTGATCACGCATGAAGGCCGACTGATCGGGATCATAGCCAGCGGCCGGCGTGAACGCCCCGCGGCCGTCCTAGCTTTGTGTCTTGTCGGGATCGTAGCCAGCGGCCGGCGCACCTCCCTTGAAGATGAGGTTATGCATGTAGTCCTCGTCGACAGCGGACGATATTTCCTCGAACAGGTTGCGGGCGCCCGGGAGCACGGCGGCAGGCATCTGTCGCGCGCGTTTCCTCGCGCCGCCGGATGATGAGCCACCGGCTACCGGGGTGGCGTTGAGGTCGATGGGCACGGGCGCGGGCGTGGAAGGCGCGACCACGCTCACGTCGGACGAGCACTCCCCGGAAAGGCGGGAGGCCTGCGGGTAGACGTGGAAGCTGGGGATCAGGTTGCAAGCTGACGCGCGGGGCGAGTCGGGCAGCACCATCCGAAGAAACGCCGACGAGCCGGTGCTGGCCACGGCGACGGCGGCTTGGACGAGGTCGTGCTGGCTAGGGTTTAACCCTAGCATGTAGAGCGCCTCCCTCGTTGCCGCCGCGACGCAGGCGTTGGTGACCTCCTGCTGCGCGGCGGCAACGACGGCCGCCTGCGCGGCGGCCTCATCCCTCGCGTCCGCGGCGTGCCTCCGGCCCTTCCTCTTGGCCGACTCCCTTGCCCGTTGTTCGGGTGTCAGCGCCTTCTTTGGCTTGGTCGCGGCGGCAGTCTTGCGCGGGGCACGAGGATTGTCTTTCCCGGAGAGGGCGGCGGCGGCGGACGAGGCGAGGGAGGCGAGGCCGGCGGCGGCGGCGTCGAGGTCAATGGCGTCGTCCATGGCTCGTTGGGGCGGGAGCGCGCGTGAGCGGGAGTGTTTTTGGCAAAAAGGGTGGGGAAATTATGGTGGCTGCCACCGACCAACAGGCCCGGGGGGAGTAGGCGCGCGCCGTCCGTCTCCTGCCCGCGCCGACGCAAATCGGGCTCAAAATTGAGCCGGAAATGGGTCGCCATGCGGACATTTGGGTCGGCGCATTCAGCCGCCTTTTTTGTCCGCGCCGACCCAAACGGACGGCGGCGGACGAAATGGGTCGCCCCATTAGAGTTGCTCTTACAACCTGTTTATGTCACTCTAATATGTCACCCTTACTGCCTTACACCCCGTTTACGTCACTTTATTATACTTGCTCTAAACGTGACCCAGCGTGCGGCTCGTTGTACTCTCACAATTTGCACACAGAAGGAACATTGCGAGCACAGAGGGCGGGCAGAAGGTAGCGCAAAAGATGAGGTTGCCATCTGGCAAGTTATTCCTCCATGGCCACCTGCTCTTGCCATCCAAGCAGAGCCTAGCATAAGCTTATGGACCTTGAATTTATCAGCACAACCTCGCAACGATTTCTGCTCCTGTTATTACAACAAACAAACATGTCTAGCGAATTATATCTCGCAATTTCTACTCGTATTACAACCCGCGTGGGCCGGGATCGGATTCCTGCGGTACACATGGAGTGAGATGCTCTAGTATTTGTACATCAACAAACAAACATTTTTTCACACTGCTAAGCTAAAAAGAGCAAACACACTCACTCTATGCACGCTGCTCTACTACACACGCCAGGGAGGATGGGAGGGTCGCTCATCCCCGATCCACCATTTCCACGGCATGTCAGATCTGAGCACTCCTTACCCGGCCCAGTCGTCATCGCTATCATCGTCCTCCTCCTCGCCCATGTCTTCGTCCTGTAATGCCGCTGCGATTAGGTACATACGCCGGGAGGCACAGTAACTTGATGTATAGCGCGCGCGTTGCACACACACACAATAACAAACAGAAAACATAAAACAGGGGGCAGATACGGGCCCTTCCCATCATCTGCCTCATGCGTCACACATGTAATTTCCTCTAGAGCAGAAGCCGACAAGAGTCAGTTAGTTACCTGATAGGATTCATCAGAGAGCTCCTCGTCTACCTGTGACACGAAACGGAAACACAACTCCTTCAGCTTCACAGGCATGCACACATTTTGGCACACAAAATATGTTATAAGTTCCAAAAAGTAGTACCTTCGCCTTTTTCTTTTTCCTGGATCCGCTTGCTACATTTTTCATGCAATAATATATTAAAGAGTCAGTCAGTCAGTCAGTCATACACCATGAATATATACAATTTCCAAGGGAAAACTGAGAGCAAGAGGTATGCTGACAAAATGAATATATATCGTCTGTCACGCACCACAAAAATGACTTCTTCCCCAACCCCTGGCACCGCTAGTGAACAAGCTTTACCCATGAAACTCTTTAATAAAAGACTTAACTGAACTGATAGCACCTATCACAACATGGAAGTGGCTTCTTCACCAGGTGTTGGCCCAAAAATAAAAGTATGATAAACAAGACTTTAGCCCCGCAAAAGGTTCCATATTTTTTTAATGTATCTCATAGGAACACCGCAAGTCTTCCGTATTTAGCAGTAAACTTCATCAATATAAAAAGCACAGCGATCCATTTTATTTCTAACATGTTCTCGGTGCTAACTTAACACACAATGAGTGACAGACATTAGAAACCCAAAATGGTTTGACAAATAGCTTCAAGTTTTAAAGCTTCTCAATACAGAGCCTTTGGCATGTTCCAGTTTTGACTTAACACACAATGAACGGCAAGTCATTAGAAGCCCAAATGGTTCAACAAATAACTTCAGGATTTAGAACTCCTCTATACAGAGCTTTTGGCTTGTTTCAGGCCTAATCTTCTCCAGCAAGAATGGCCCACAGAAGGTTAGACCAAATTCTCACAGTAAAGTTTGTATTATAAGATAAAAACAGACTTGGTTTGATACTGTATTTAAGTGCCTTCTATTTCTGGACATTGCAGCACTAACAAATGTATCCATCCAATAGTCAACTCTATCTTCATTTATACAAAATGTCAAATATACCAGTTACCTTCGTTGATACAAAGGCAAAGCAATCCGTTTTAACTCTATTGTTGATTCATAATTATGTCGCAACAGGCATTGAGCGACAGATTTTAGAATCCAAAATAGTTCAACAAATAGTTTCATCTTTCAAATCAACTCTGTAGAGCCTTTTTGGCTTCTAATTTTTTTCCCCGAGAATGGACTTAGAAGCTTAGAACAAATTCTTACACTAAAGCTTGTAATATAAGATGCTTCTCACAACAGACTTGGTTCTTACCTTCCTTCTTTGCTGCTGACTGTTTTCCCTTTGGGGTTCCTCGCTGCTTCTTAGCAGGAGCTGCATCATCATCCTGTAACGTCGTTGTGATTGGTTAGGTAGGCCAAGAGGCACAAATAACATCATCATAATGAAAAGAGCAACACATAAACAAGGGGTCCAAACACGGGAGCGCTGAGACCATCAGATGTCTTTGCAATCATGTCCATATGAGTGAAATCTGGCATGTAATTTCCTCTAGAACAAATATTGGTAAGAGGACGATTTTGCAGTATCACAGCTGATTAAGTCACCTGAGAGGGATCACCCGAGAGCTCTTCAATTTCATCTTCTTCTACCTGTGACACAAAATGGAAAAGGCGGAAGGCCTTCAGTTTCACAGGTACGCATTCAGCAAAGAAAACAATGAGCAGCATTTTAAATAAAAAATCACTGCTAATTGTCGTTAAAATACTCATCTATTAAAGTAAAATGACCAATATTAAAGTTCCAAAAAGTACCTTTGCTTTTTGCTTTTTCTGAGATCCACTTGCTGCATTCATGTAATATACAGGTCAGTCATATACCATGAATACTACCAGTAATGCAATTTTATAAGGAAAAAAAAGAGCAAAAGTTAAGCTGACAAAAGAATAGATTACAGGCCACTAACACACACTAAAGTGAGTTTTCTCCAAGCCCTGGCACGGTAGCGAAAAATCCTAGACTGGCTTTGCCCATGAAGGTTCTAAAAGAGTAATTGACAGCACCTCTCAAAACATGGAACTGCCTTCTTC